CATATCATGACACCCTTGTAGCGATTAGAGAAACACATTTTTTTTCGTATTCTTGAAGCATTTTTTATTCTCGCAGTGGGTTTCCCAATTAAGCGGAACTCCCATCATATTATTGAGGGTATAAATGTAAATGTAGGTAATAAAGATCCTACTTAGATATTGGATAGATATTAGATAGATAGCTAAGTTTGTTAAGTGCTTTCCATATACTTGTATATATACAGGTTGTATGATTATTAAAAGTCAATGAAAAGATTATTTCTCAATATGGTATCAACCGCCTTCTGTCTTACGACCTGATCCAAACACGCTACCGCCTTGCGACCTTTCTTCTTCCTTCCTTCTACTTACGATCGTCGTCTTGATCTCCCAAACCCTAACTCTGTGCATCAATGGCAGCTCCTGCTTCTTCGTCAGATTCTACTACTCATGGTCATCCACCTCCATCCTCTGTCATGGTCTCTCCTCCGGTGCCCTCCTCCATCACCATTCAAAATATTGGATTTATGGTACCAATTAAGCTTACCACTACTAATTACCTCACTTAAAGTGCTTTGTTTGCTCCTATTTTTCGCCGCTACAATTTCACCGGCAGCGTTGATGGCTCAACGCCACCGCCGCCTCAAATGTTATTGGATGATTCTGGCAATCGCACGTCTCTCATCAATCCTGATTATGTTTCTTGGTATGAGAATGATCAAAACATTCTCATCTAGCTAAATTCCACATTGTCTGAAACCCTAATTCCTTACACTATTGGAGTTAATTCTTCTCGCGAACTTTGGGCGAAATTGGAGTCCCGATTGGCTGCTGCTTCTCAATCTCACGTTCATAATCTTCGATCGCGTCTGCGCACCATTACAAAAGGTGAATCTACTACTGCTCAATTTCTCCAACAAATTGAGGAAATCGCAGATGCTCTTGCAAGTGCTGGAGCTCCGGTGGCCGATTCCGAGCTCATTTCTGTCACACTTCATGGACTACCATCGGAGTATCATTCTTTTGTTGATGCTATTCAATTTCGCATCAGATCGACTACCATTGATGAATTGCATGGCCTTCTTCTGAGTAAAGAAATTCAGTTGAATAATCGCAAGAAATCGTCTCTCACTGCTCATTTCCAGGCATTTAATTCTTCTACGGGTCTTCTTCCCACACCATCTATGGCTCCTCAGGCTTACACTGCTCCGGTTTATTCTTCATAGCCTTTCTTTCAAGGTCGTTCTTCTAATTACTCTCAAAATCGTGGTAGTTCTTCAAACCCTAGAAATTTCCAAGGCAGGGGTAATTTTAGAGGCAATTCTCAACGCACATATTACCGGTCGAATAATCAGCGCTCTTCTCGTGGTGGTCGTTCTTTCTCTGGCAAATGCACTCCTTGCCAAATATGCCGTCAATATGATCATGAAGCATTTGACTGTCCACAGCACATGAATCCTAGCTACACTGGATCTTCATCTCACTCTGCTATGGTTGCTCATACTAATCCTACTTCATCTACTCCCACTTGGCTTGTTGATTCTGGCACCAGTTCTCACATGACTAATAACTACACAAATCTGCAAAATCCTGAGCCTTATCGTGGTCCTGAGCAGGTCTACATTGGTGATGGCAAAGGTTTTCCCATTCATCACTTTGGTTCTTCTTCTTTAAATACTGATCACCATTGTTTTCAGTTGAAAAATGTTCTTCATGTGCCTGATTTAAAGCAAAATTTATTATTTGTGAATCAGTTTCTTCTTGACAACTGGTGTTCCATGCATCTTTATCCTTTTCACTTCACTGTGAAGGATATTTCTTCGGGGAAGATGCTTTTTAGTGGACCGGTTCATGATGGATTCTACCCTTTTCATACTTCGTCTCCTGCTCCTGGTTCTCCACACTTGTTTGTTGCTACAACAATGGCTTCTCAGGATCTTTGGCACAAGAGACTTGGCCATCCGTCTACCAAAGTTTTAAATAAATTGGCCTCTACTTCGTGTATTTCTATGTCTCGTACTATGAATAACACTTTCTATTCCGATTGTGCTATAAGCAAAAGCTCTAAGCTTCCTTTTGTTTCTAGTTCTTGTACTACAAGCAAGCCTTTAGAGCTTCTTCACATGGATGTCTAGGGACCAGCTCCTATTTCCTCTGTACATGGTTTTCGATACTATGTGATAATTGTTGATGACTATACAAAGTATTCTTGGCTTTATCCTCTGAAGTTCAAGTCTGATGTTCTTTCTACATTTGTTCACTTCAAGTCTCTTATTGAAAATAAGTTGGGTGTCAAAGTTATTTCTATTTGCTCAGATTCTGGTGGTGAATTCTTAAGCTCCAAGTTCTCACAGTTCTTACTTGACCATGGTATTACACACCAACTCAGCTGTCCTCACACTTCTGAGCAAAATGGGTGTGCTGAGCGTAAGCACCGACATCTTGTTGAAACTGCTCGTACTCTATTGACAGTATCTAAAGTTCCCCATCAATATTGGGATCATGCCTTCTCTACAGCCATTTATCTCATCAACTGGATGCCTACTGCACATAATGTCTCTCTATGGGAATCTTTATTCAAGAAAGCTCCAGCGTATGCTTCTCTCAAAGTCTTTGGTTGTAGTTGCTTTCCTTGGCTGAAGCCTTACACTACATCTAAGCTAGAACCAAAGAGCAAACATTGTATTTTCTTGGGGTATAGTTTAAATAACAGAGGGTATCAATGCTTGGATCCTTTATCTCACTGAATCTATATTTCCCGGCATGTCATATTTGATGAGCACAATTTCCCTTTTCATAATCCTTTACCCGTCTCATCCTCTCAGTCTATATCTTCCTCACCTGTACATATCATCCCATCTCATCTCACATTCAACTCTTTTCAATCTTCCAAGCCATCATCACCCCATACCTCTCCTTTCCCACATCCATCTCCTCCCCCATCTACATCTCCATCCCAACAACTCCATATATCTCATTCCCAAAATTCATCTTCCTTACCAAATTCCTCTTCTGCACCAATTCCATCCCAACACCCACATATCTCTTCTTCACCACTGTCCTCTTCTTCTCTCAACATTCATCATATGCAGACTCGTTCCAAATCTGGCATCTTCAAACCTAAAGCCTTGCTTGCCACTAAACATACTCTTCTATCTCATCTCAGTGTTGACTTTGTTCCTTCCACCTATCATCAGGCATCAAAATATTCCCACTGGAGACAGGCAATGCAAGAAAAGTTCAATGCTCTTCTCAACAATGGTACTTGGTCCTTGGTTCCCTATTCTCCTTCGCAAAATCTAGTAGGTTGCAAGTGGGTATTTCGCATCAAACGCAAGCCTGATGGTTCTATAGATCGGTATAAGGCCCGATTGGTTGCAAAGGGGTTTCATCAACAGGAAGGGCTAGACTACACAGAGACTTTCAGCCATGTTGCCAAACCTGTCACCATTCGCCTTTTACTTACTTTGGCTGCTCAATATGATTGGTTTCTCAACCAACTTAATGTTAGCAATGCTTTTCTGCATGGTACTCTTACAGAAACTGTGTTTATGCAACAATCTCCAGGGTTTCAGGATTCTACACAACCTGATTCTGTTTGCAGACTTCATAAATCGTTGTATGGTCTCAAACAAGCTCCTCGAGCTTGGTATGATAAACTACATGGTGCCTTACTCTCCTTGGGATTCGTTGGCTCAAAATCGGATTATTCATTGTTTGTTAAAAAGGATCATCACTTGGTGTTTATCCTTGTCTACGTTGATGACATTCTTGTCACAGGCCCTTCTCCCTCAACCTGCAAGCATGTTATTGATCAACTCAGTGCTCTCTTTCCTATCAAAGATCTTGGTTCTTTGCATTATTTTCTTGGTATTGAAGTTAAGCGTTCTTCCAAGGGTATTTTCATCTCAGCCGAAATACATCCTGGACCTATTGCACAAGGCCAAAATGGATGGTGCCAAACCCTGTGTCACTCCCCTGAGTATATCAAACCTTGATCACTCTTCTTCTCTCTTGGATGATCCTACTGAATATCGATCTCTTGTTGGCGCCCTTCAATATCTCACATGGACTAGGCCCGATCTCTCTTTTGCAGTGAATCTTGTTTGTCAGTTTATGCACTGTCCTCGCATTTCCCATCTTCAAGCTGTGAAACACATTCTGCATTATCTCAAGGGCTCCATTGAGTGTGGTCTCTGGTTTTCTAAAAGTTCTTCACCACCATCTCTCACTGCTTATTCTGATGCTGATTGGGCAGGCTACTCCATAGATCGCCGTTCAAGTGGTGGTTTTTGCATTTTTCTAGGGAATTCTATCATTAGTTGGAGTGCTAAGAAGCAATCCACCGTGGCCCGGTCCTCTACAGAAGCTGAATATCGATCATTGGCTAACACTGCTGCCAAATTATCTTGGATCTGCCAACTTATTGCTGATATTGGTCTTTACCTACCCTGTGTACCAAAGCTGTGGTGGGACAATATATCGACTATCTCCCTTGCCAAGAATCCCATTTTCCATGCTCGCACTAAGCATGTTGAATTGGACTATCACTACATCCGGGAAAAGGTTTTGGCTCATGAAATTTCTCTGCATTTTGTTTGCTCCTAGGATTAGATAGCTGATATTTGTACCAAGGCTCTGTCCAAATCACAATTTATGTTTCTCCGGTCCAAACTTGCTCTTCGGCAACCTCAGTTCAGTTTGAAGGGGGATATTGAGGGTATAAATGTAAATGTAGGTAATAAAGATCCTACTTAGATATTGGATAGATATTGGATAGATAACTAAGTTTGTTAAGTGCTTTCCATATACTTGCATATATACAGGTTGTATGATTATTAAAAGTCAATGAAAAGATTATTTCTCAATACATATCTCAAATAGAATTCAAAATATACAAACTTACAATCTAAAATATATATTTCCCAAATAGGGCGTAAAGGTAGTATTTTACATCTCAAATTTGCAACTTTCCAATATAAGGAGATTTTAGGGTGGAAATTTATTTATGAATCTCAAACTAATAGGAAAATCATTACATTCTGAATTTCAAATACTCAAATGGCATAACAATTATTGAACATTCCAATGGTATTAATCTCAACGGTACAAACAGTAAGTGGAGGCAAATTGACATCTTTTAATGTTTAAACACTAGCAAGAGTCTCTATAAACTGATGAGCATGAAAGCATCCAATATGTAATGCTGTATTTGTTTTGGTGGATTTTGGACCAGAACCACAAATCTCCTTGAAGCTCTTATTTCTAAGATTATAAGATATAAACTTGCCAGGAATGTGCAGCAACAGCGATGAGCCCTCTTCAGTTTCTTGGACAAAAAGTAAAACGAACGCGTAAAACAGAGAATCATGGTGATGGGGGTGAAGGTAGTCTCTAACCATCTCCGGAAATGCATCGATGATAGGAGAAATATCGATTTGGTACTTGCAAATCCACTTTGAGTAATCCCTCTCCAATTCAAAGACTTGGAATTGAGTGGTGCTTGGACCATAAATTTCAACAAGGTGCAAATGGCCACCGGATTCACCAAAATATCTGAACCTTCTTTTGCTCCAGTGCTCGTCTGATGGAGGACTAGGCATTGATCCGATGTGCTCTTGATTGATATTAAAACATAATGTAGCTCCCGTTGGGCTAATCCAATGTATTGCACCATTCCAAAGCACCCCAGTTTCAAACATCATGTCGGATGGGGACGCAAAAGGAGAACCACAAAGCCTCCAAGTTCGAGTCTCGGATGGGTATATCTGAATTTGGTACCGATCGTGTGCTGCTGATAAAGAGCAATTTCGAACGCAGACGACTTGGTAGTGAGGTGATTTGGATGAATCAAAAGCTAAATAAACACCTAAAACAGTTGCGAACGAATCATGACCCTCAGCATTAGGTGGAGGAAGCGTCAAGAATTGCCTTGTTGAAGGGTTGCAGACGTAATAGCTACGAGGTTTTCCCAACTTGTGAAAGCTGCACCCCAAGGCCAGGCCATTGATGGACTGCAATAACTTAACACCAGCAGAATCATCAATGAAGTCAAGAGACGAAAAGGGTTTCTCTGAACTGCTGCAATTGAGAGATAGGTGGCTGATGAGGCCGGGAATTTGAGACAAGAGGATGGATGCAGAGGCAAGTCTGCGGTGGCGGCTAGAGAAATTTGGGGTGGAGATCAGACAGAGCCACTTCTTGGAGACACATTTGAACCGGAGAAGCGATTTCACCGGCAAGCGTAGGAGGATCAATGTGATGAGGTCTTCGTTGCAAGCTACTACCTCAGCTGAAGCCACCATTTTTTCAGAGCTTTCAGATCACATCAGCAGTTGTGAAGAGACCGTTAATTGGCATAGGGATACAATTATATATGCAACAGATAAGCATAATAACCATCGTTGAAAAAGTATTTGCACTTGGCAATGGCCAGTTGTGCAAGAATTGGCTTAAGAGATGCAAGTTTTTTTATTCAAACTCACTAAAAAGTTCAAAATTCTTTGCTGACATGTGCGTGATACCTTCCATCTTACACCCTCTCCCTTGAAGAATTGTCTTCCTCCTCTTCAATTTGCGATCTGGGAAAACTTTAGTTTTAATGGAATTTCAATTATTTTGTACATAAATTATTCCTACTTGTAACTGCCATTGACTATATGTTTTAATTAGAAAGAGTAGAAGGATGGTGGAGTGAATAAAAAAAGAAAATGATAAACATGTACATTTTTTAGTCTCACAAATTCTTATTAAATTCTAATCATTGTTTTTGTTTAATTCATTTAATTCAATGACAAATAAAGAAAGAATAGTGTATGAATATAAAAATTTGCCTAAAATAAACAGATGCAAAGGCCACAAGGCAACCACATGAAACATGTTATGAAGATTGAGAAATATGTTAAGTGTAAATTTTCCCTTTCTCTTTTAATATTTAAATCAAATTATTGCAAAATGGCAATCCCTACTTGGATCCCAAACTACATGTGATTGCATTATTAGCTATCTTTTATTTTCCTTCTGCTTTTATAATCATTTGTTTTTGTTGTTTCTCTGACCGCATTATTCGTCACCAACAATGTCACAGCTCACAACCTAATGTATATGAAACTTGTAACGCTTTGTTCCCGAGATACGACAGGAATTGACACGTGGCAGCTGAAAATAGCGGTATAATAATACATAGAGTCAATTCGGACACATAGATAATACATCAGATGATCAGTAGAAATAAAATTACAAAGAAAATGAGAACAAACCTACTTTCGAGTGCACTGCTACACCCTATCAAAACATCTTCTCTTACTGCTACTTGTAACTTTGCAAAACAACCCTGCGCCACAGGAATGGCGCACCGACCAAAGCAAACTTGGATAAGTTGCGAAGTTTACATGAGTGACAATAATAAATTATATGTAATTTTTTTTTAACAAAGATATTAGGAATGAGGAGTGAGCTATAATGTGGTTCAAATTCGTTTTTTGACAAAAATCAAAAGTCTCGCTTACAACATATGTAATTTAAAAGACCAGACTGGACCTGTTTGTAAATGAAACGGGACGAGAAGGGCGATTCTTGTTATTTTAGAAATGAAACCAGACTTAGGGCTGGTTTAGTATTGCTGTGCTTTGAAAAAAAACTGCTCCTGCTATGCTGTGAGAATAAGCAGCTGTGAAATAAAGCAGCAGAGTGTTTGGTAAACTTTTTTGTAAAAGTGCTTTTGAAAAAAGAAAAAAAAAGCAGTATTATAGTGTTTGGTAAACTTTTATGTAAAACAGATATGAAAAAAAACCATTTTTTCAAAGCTGGGTTTTGCATCTTTGTGTTTTTGGCTTTTTTTTCACCCAAAACTGTGAAAAAAAAGCTGAACCTGAATGTTTACCAAACACAAAAAAAACTCTCAGCTTTTTTTGATATCCACTTTTTTAAGAATCGCCTCAGTACCAAATCAGGCCCTAACCAAATCAGTTTCAAATGGCCGGTTCTGACGGGTCCACGGTTTGTTGTTTTTTTTATTTTTTAACTTTTGTTAATAGATTATGGGGTTGAAGGAGTCAGAGACTAAGACTGAGTGGTTCCGTGAATACCCAGAACCCATCGCCTTCCGCAATCCCTTCACCTACCCGCATATCTCCGACACCAAGAGGATCTTCACCTCCATCGTCTCCGCAACAAAACTCGACCTCCGCGTCCAAAACGCCGTCCTCCAATCCTACGCCTCAATATCCACCGTCAACGATTCCATCTTTCTTTTCAGCCACATGATCAAAACTCACCATGCGTTCTCACATGATACTCAGTGATTCCATCTTTCTTTAATGGGATGAGACACTGGGATCCGTACACCAGGTACTCAATCTTATGCTCACCAATGGCTTCAGTCCCGATAATGTTACCACCAGTGGTGGAGTTGGGATTTCTTGTGAGAAGGGGCTCACACAAGTATAAAAGAAGAAAATAGTGGTTATAAAATTACAAATACAAAACATCATAATATACATTCAAATAATTAAATAGTCAAAATTAACATATCCATAGATAATTTTATCTATTCAATAGAGATAATTATTAAAAATTTGCAAACCCTAAAACTCAAGTAATAGGATAGAATAGAAACAAATGTTTTAGAGAGGATAATAGAGTTTTACAAACCTTATTGTTCTTTATTCAATAAATTTGAGATTTGGAATCATTAATACATGAAATTCAAGAAGAATAGGGGAATAAATCTGCCAATGCATAAGTGAAAGACAATTTTTTTTTAATTAAAAGTGAATGATGGGTTTAATTTAAATGCTATTGATTTGTGATAAATGACAATTTAAAATATTATACTTAATTTTGGGATGGAATTTGTTGGATTAAAATTAGATAATGATTGGATTTGTTTAAAGTGTTGAGAAGGGTTGCAAAGCAAAGTGTAATACTAATCTTATTTTTGTCACTTAGTACTACGGTCTAGTAGTATTCTTTTTCACTTGTAAGTAAGAGGTCTTAGGTTCAATTCTCGCCAAAAGCGAATTTGAATCACATTATTGCTAGCTCATTGTGAGGCTAAGTCCACCCCTCCCCCTTAGTGTAGAAAATATCAATTGTTCAAAAAAAAAATACTAATCTTATTTTTACAAGTGAGGGTAGGCCTAGGACTACTCTAATCCTAGTATGCCTCTGCAGTTGTTACCACTGCATCATCTTTTCGTCGTTGAGGCTCATAATTGCGCTGGTTGTGTTACTCATGCATCTCTGTAACTTTTGGATAATCACGTTAACCGCACGATGCCCCTTTACTAGGGATCCTGGTTAGACCTGACATTCATGTCGTATTTCTCGTGTTTGTGTCATTTTCTTATCATACCCGATAACTTAACGGGTCGTGTCGTGTAACATCCGTTAAAATAAACAGGTAATATGACCTGACCCATTACCGATTAAGAAAAATATATTTAAATCAATAAATAATGAAAAAGAAAACATAATTTGACCCAAAATAAATGTAAAATATAATACTAAATTAGTATATACATACCACATTGTCACATAAATATTACTTCAAAACATTAAAATATATATATATATGTATATTTCTCTTTCAAGTTTACGTACCCCAAAATAAGAGCCTAAAAAAAAAACATCAGTGCATACTAGACCTGCCATTTTTAACTCGATTCGATCCAACCTGTTAAAATTGGTATTCGGATGAGTGATAAACGGGTCGGATGGTTAACGAGTCAACCTTCGTTAAGACAGCAGTCAACTGCGGAGCAGAGTCGGGTTCCGTCAAGAGGTGGAGGAGCTCCATGGCTTGGGTCAACGCAAGTTCTAGAAGCACGGTGAAGGAGCTGGCGTTCTTCGGCACTGTCATGAGTCGATGGATTTGTTCTCGGAATTGGAGGGACTCAAACTCAAGTCCTTATAAAGTGGATCTAAGTACGGTTGCTCTGGTTGGTTCCATTGAATTAAGCGGCAAATTGAACTGAAACAGAGCTCAATTCCTTGATAAATTCCCAAAATTTTCAACTCAGACAAAGTGTTGTAGTTAAATTAAGCAAAAACCCAGTAATTTGATTAGTCTTGGGAAGAACAGTGGATTTCGGAACTGAAATTGGGTAAGAGAGAGAAGCTGGAGAGGTAGAGAGAGAAACGAGTGTAGTTAGCAAATGTGGGCAAATTGGGCAAGTGGGTAGAGATATAATGAGGGAGTGAGAGATGGATATGGCGGTCAAAATGTTATACGTGCGTTGCCTCGAAGTAGGCAGTGGAGTCTTTCTGCAGATTGGATGAAATGTGAAAAAAAAAAAAATTGTTAACGGGTGAAACGGATGAAACGGGTGATGGGTTGGATTCGGGTGATCTGTTAGCTTAATGGGTTGAGTTCGAATGACCCGTTAAATTAACATATCAGGTTGAACCCGACTCAAATCCAATAAACCCGACCCGTTTACAGGTCTAGTGTATACTACAAAATACAAATGTTCAAAGATATGCAAAATGAAGAGAGTTTCATTTCAAAGTTATGGAACCTTGCATGTTTTTTACAATAAAAATAAAACCTTTCAATTTTCATCAATCACCAAGGGAAATGGTATTGGAATTTTGGCTTGATATATTGTCTTCAAGAGTTATATTGACAATGTTTTCAGTAAGATTTTCCATAATCCATAAACTATAGATCTAAATTTAACTGTTGATTGTCTTTTATATTTACGCTCCATTCTTCTCACCAATTTTTTTTTTTTTTGATTTTCTTTTTTGAAAACATGATCTCTTAAATGATGCAGGAAGCTGAACGGTTTCGATCGTTGATATTACGTTCAGAGTTTTACCATTAGTGAAAATATAGCTCGAAGTTTATAAAGTCTCTAGAAACTGTATAACATCAACTCATATTTTAGTTAACCGTAAATATCGGAATGTCATATCGATGATCCGAACCGTTCATTTTTCTACATCTGCTAAAAGATCACTTTTCAAAAAGAAAATCTAAAAAATGAAATTCGGTGAGTAGAATAAAGTGTAAACAACAATGGACGGTTAAATTCAAATCTAAGATTTATGGATTATGGTGTTAGATTTCGGAGTTGACCCCTTCATGAAAGTTGTAAAGTTTGTCATTACAAGTGATTGTATATATAATTTTTTACATTTTTCACACTTCTACACTAATTATTATTAATTTTATTAATTTTGCACTCAAATAAAAAAATATACTATTCATGAGATTTGGAGGGTTTTAAAAATCTAAATGACCATATAACCATCACCAATGTTCTAAAAAAGGGCCTAGGCGGCACCTAGGCGCTGGGAGGTGGTGACTCAAGGCGTTTTCTTGCAAATTGGTTGGAAAAATCGGCTGGGCTCTAGGCGATGCTAGGCGGCTAGAAGGTTTTTTTTTTTTTTTTTTTTTTTTTTGAAATTAAAAAATAAAAAAAATCCTATCTACATTACTATATTTCCTTATTTTCCTTCTATTTTGCATTTTATGTGGTTTTAAATTGTGAACTTATTGTATATGTGTCATCTTACAATACTTCTCACTATGGTTATATGGCATATATGCTTAATGTGTTTTTAAATTTTGGACTTGTTGGGTACTCTTTTTGCATTTTATTATTCTTTTCTTATCTTATCCTTGGA